CTCTTCCCCAAAGTTAAAATGACCATGAAAGGTAAATGTTTTGAATCGATTCAGGACATCAAAGCAGCTATGACAGCACAACTAAAGACACGAAAGGACTTCCAGAACTGCTTCAGAAAGTGACAAGAAGCTTGGGGTGTGTTCAAAGCGAGCGGGAGTATTGGGGATTAATAGCAATGTGTCTTTTATTATAATAATTTATTTTTATTTAAACATTCACCATATTATTTGATCACACCTCATAAGCTTTTGATATTTGAGAAGCACTCTGCCTACAGGACACTCCATCCTTTTCTGAGTGTCCTCATCTGGTCTGAGTGGGGTGATCATTACTACTACAACTCCAGAAAGCTGGAGGGGGACCAGGACGCAAACCACTGACAAAATGACTCAGCCCTCCTCTTCCCAGTGGTTTCCCCACAACATAACCCCTGAGGCAAATGTCTGAAGCTCTACATGTGACATGTGACCCAAGTAGGAAAAGACAACGCAGGAGAGATGCTTCCTTAGGACTAAAGCTTAGAAGCTTTCACTTGACAAGGGCATGAAAATGATGTCTCCCCTGCACCTCACCACCTCTGCCTTGGTAGGGTCTCCCCAGCCCTTCATTCCACAATATCTAACAATTTGAATTAACCCCAGAGGAAAGGAATTAAAGATGCATGAAGATAAAAGTAAAAATTGATTTAGTCAATTTATAGGTTAGTGATCTCACATCTGAAAAAGTGTCAACAACTGGAACTTTCCCAAGATTGCCAAATAAGTCATGGAATATTTTTGAACCCAGCAAAATATGCAGGTCATGTCACTCGAGTGTCTTTTGTGTTTATTAAAGTAGTTTTTTAAAACTGCATATGCACATCCTAACGTAAAAAATGCAGATGGGATACAGTGAGAATTTTGTCCCCATGTATCCCATCTTGAAGAGGACGTGTGCATCTGTGTGCTCTGATCTTTGCACACCCCACATGCCGCCTGCTGCCCATGTGTCCCAAACCTTTCTGTTCGCAATCACCTAAGAGAGCAATCACCTCAGTAGGTGCATGCGAGCTGCTTTGGTCCTGCAGTGGCTGGTGCCATCCCCATGTATGGATGACATCACCTCACAGCATCAAGTTTCCAGTCCTACATCCATGTGNGGGGACAGAGCCTTTGGTGTCCCCAGCCATAAAAGAGCCTATTTTTAGTCTTTGGACTGTGAGAAATAGACTCCCTTGATTTCACTTTTCCTGATGGCTTTTCACTGTGACTCAGGTAACCCTAAGGGTGATTTCCCCTGAAAATGTCCCAGTAAATTCACAATTGTCACCCGAACCTGAAGGAGCCAGGGACCCCTGCACAGCAGAGCCTGGCATGTGGGTAATGAATAGCTGTTCCCCTGGGATGTCACAGGTGGTTGACCTAACAGCGCTTGGCCGTCCCTCCCTCCCTCATCACCTCACACTCACCCCCAGCTGACCGGGATGTAAAGTGACTTGTCATAAATATTCTGCTCTTTGGTTGCCGTTCTCAATTGCAGGTCAAAAGAGTTAACCTTTGTAGGTTTTTCCATAGAAAGTCCTTCTTTGTTACCCCCCAGAATAGCTTTTAAGCTTGTCACTTCTGGGTTTGTCTCATGGACACTGGGAGTCCATGACTCTTCAATAGGAAAAGGTTCCTAGCAGAATTTTGGGAAGACTATTGGTGGGTTTGCCCATCCCCTCAAGAATAAGGGTGGATTGTTCTGAGCCAGCTTTGTTGCTGTTTTCATTCTCCAAAAAGCCCAGGTCCATGCCTGGGAGAGTTGTCCAGGGTCATGGGTGCAGAGATATGGCCTTCCACCCATGACACCAAGATGAGAAGCCCGGCCTGGTGGAGACTGGGATGGCCTCGAGGCCCTGTCTCTTGGTTTGCTCTTGGCAGGTTGCTGTGCTGCTCTGAGCTGCAGACTTGTTTAAATTAGTAGTGAGGACCTGGGGTTGGCACAGAACCTTATGTAGGGTGGACTCCAGGAGTGGGTGGAGTTGGGTCTGCACACACCCACCCCTCCATTCCCAGGGAGTGAACCGCTGGGAACCTGACTGGGAACCTGCTGTCTCACCTCTAGTGTGCCGGATGGCGGAGACCCAACCACAGAGCAACCCCTTCATGTGTATGGACCTCACCTATATCAGCTTGCTGCTCCAAGAATTCGGCTTCCCGAGGAACAAAGTGCTAAAGGTAAGGATTTGCCTCTTCAGTA